TTCTTTGCTTTTCTGGCTGATAAATGTGTACTGTCACCATTACTAACTACTATAGAATTCTCAGCAACTCCTCTCTCTTCTAATTTAACTCTGAGGCGATGGTTGTCTCTCACCAGGTGCGCGCTCTCCGCGGGGGGCAAGAGTCCCCCCTCCAGGTAGAGGCCTAGGATGGCCCCAGAGCTGAAGCCGAAGCGCTGGCAGATAAGACTAATGAGATCCGTGACAACTCGGCATCTGTTCAAGTCGACCAGAAGCCAGAAGACCGTGCAGTGCGGGGTGGCTGGCGGTGGGTAATCAAATTGAAGCCGTAGCCTAACCGTCTCGGAGGCTGCCATCTTGCTCGGTGCTGAAAACGTGACTATTCTTTACGAGATTAAAACTCATTCATCTAAATAAAAATGAAAAAAAAAGGCTTTAAATGAATTAGAAAAAAATTACCTAAAGTATTTATACCAAGATTTTCTTAAACATCAGATATCATAATAATTTCAAAGTTACATCACTAATGTATTAACCCAAAGAATCGGAAAAATATTTTAGGCCTTGATTTAGCATCTTATAGTTTCTACAGGACAAGCAAATATACTGCAAATTGCCCACAGCTACAACTGAAATGTTACTATACAAAAATTTTGGAACTGGAATATATGCACATGGTAATGCTTTAGGAATTTTAATTTATTCCTATCAAAGGTACATCTGCATTTAGCCATTTTTTAATATTTTTACTTTTTAAAAATTCTGAGTGCAATTATTTTCAAGATATATTCTATCTTCTACCTTTAAAGAAGCTTGCTTAGATGTTTGTTTTACCTCGCAAAATAAGATAATAAACTTAGCTGTTGTTTACATGAAATTTTGCTTCATTTTATTTATTTATTACAGTGTTCTTTTTTTTTTTTAATTTCGAAGTATTATGTGGGTACAGATGTTTTTGGCTACATGGATTGTTTTTTTAATGTTTGAGTCAGGGCTGTAAGTGTGCCTATCACCCAGATAGTATTCACTGTGCCCCTCAGGTAGGTTTAACTCACCCTCTCCTCTACAGCCCCCTCCCCCCTGCTTGATTTCCACTGAGTTTTACTTCCCTCTGTGCTTTTAAATTTTCATTTAAGTTGGATTGAGACCAAACTTCATATGACTGTGAGGAATCAACTGTTAATTCAAAAATTATAGAAATACTTTACTGTGGAGTGGAAAAAGACCAGATGCCCCATTCCAAGCTCTCATCCAGTGAAAAAAGAAGTCATTGTATCTTAGTCACTTCAGGCTGCTATTACAAAAATGCCATGGACTGTGTGGCTTAAACAATAAACTTTCATTTATCACAGTTTGGAGGCTAAGTCTAAGATCGTGGTAGTTGCAGATGCAGTGTCTGGTCAGGGCCTGCTTCCTGGCTTGTGGACAGCACCCTTCTCACTGGATGTTCACATGCAGAACAGAGAGATCATCTCCCAGTGTCTCTTCTTAGAACGGCACTAATCTCATTATGAGGGCCCCACCTTCATGACCTAATTACCGCACAAAGGCCCTACCTCCAAATACCATCATATTGGAGATTTAGGCTTCAACCTATGAATTTTTGAGGGGGTTCAAACACTGAGTTTGTATCTCTAACTATTCCTAAAAAGGAGCCATTCAGCTACTTCTTGAAGAGAAACAGAAATGGGAATTTGGCTACTTTATAAAGCAAAATATTTAGGGGAGCTTTCGAATGTATATGATCTTCGAGATTTTGGTCAATTTGTTCATATTGAAATTATATAGATTTTTCATAGCTGAAGTCATTTTTTGAACATGAGATATATATATATATATATCCCCCATTATTTTTAAAGCTTTAATTCCCACACTGCATAAAATCTTCAATCTGCATAGAATCTGACATTCTATTTGAGTGTCATTTCCCAGTAAGATATTTTGTTGTTCTGGAGAAAACCACCCTCTCTAATAGGCTATCAGCAGAGCCATTCATGTCTCCCCATTATAAAATGAAATTAAAAACATGAAAACTTATGATTTGGGATATTCGCCAGGAGCAGAAAATTGTATTCAAAATCTGCTTATGAACCTACAATTAGTTTAAACAAAATAATGCATAAATACAGTTCCTGTAAAATGTTGAATTTCAAGATTTCTGCTGACTTTGTAAAGGTTAGCTAGTCCATTTTTCTATCAGCATTTGAACCCTCTCTACAATATTCCCAAGTTTTTAATTTTAAAAAATACAGTATTGCATGACAATTACTTAAACATTTATGAGCTCTTACTAAAATTCCATACCAGAATTCAATGTAAAATGTTCTTTATGCAAATGAAATCTATATTTTAAGAGCATTACATAGTGATATTACTTGATATTGTTATTATAACATAATGGCTTAAGATTATTAAATTCTATTTTAAAATTTTTCCAAGTTTTGTCATTGATATATGTCCTTAGCTGTACCTTAACATTAATCAGAATTTAAGAAGTTATTTCTTGCCTCTTAGATTATGAATGTATTCCATAGAGACTAAGATTAATAATACCTTTCTTCATGAAAGATATTGTAGACTTTAATTTCTGCTCGTTTTTCCTCTTGTAGTAAATAGCATGACCTTTCAGAAAGGAGACACTAGTGAATATTGGAAATTGCACTGAGATGGTAGTCTGGAGACTGTTTCTTACTTTTTTTTTGACTATCAGTAAACAGCTGATGACTTTAGGCAAGCCTCTCAAACATTCTATGCTCTATATATTGTATTTGTGAAATGAAAAATTTGAATCAGATAAATTCTGAAGTGTTCAAAAGTTCTCAAACTCTGTGAGTGTATAAATTGATGTTAACTCAAAAATCATAATCAATACCTGTCTTGCTAAGAAGTCAGAATTTAAAATATTGGCCTAGATATAAAGAGAATTTAACCTAAAACTTTT